TGCGGGCCCGCCCGGCGGACTTCAGAGTGGGGTGGGGCGGAGAGACCGGCTGGGCTGCGGCGGGGCCTGCGCTAGACGGAACCGGAGCCCCTAGGGTGGTCAGGGCCCCGCGCAGAGGGCAGCGAAGGGGAGCCCGGTGGAACCCCAGGTCCTGTCCCAAGGCGGTGGGTGGTCAGGAGCAGCGGGGACCCGATTTGCAACACAGGAAATGATAGTGGGAAGGAGGCCAGTGCAGGCCCAGCCCGCTGGGTGGGACAGTGACTGGAGGAGGCGCGGCTGGCCCCACTTCCGGCTTCGGGGCGAACTGGGGTGAAGCGGCGGAGGTTGGCGCTTGAGCTCAGCCCTGCTTGCTCCCCTTGCTGTCAGGGCACGAGAGTAAAAAGCAGGCAGAGTGGCGCCCTGGCGGGGGGGGGGGCTCAGACCGCTGAGCCACTCGGCGGGGCTGCTGGAAATGAGGCCGGGAGCGCGGTAGTTTCTGGTGCCATGGCTGCCTCGGGTGTGCCGGGAGGAAGACTGGGTCTGACACACAGGTACTGAGTGCTTCTTACTCATCATTAAAAGAGGAACGCCTAGGGACATCAGGGCCAGCGACCTGGGGAGGGACCTCTGGTCCACACTGGAGTGCCGCCAGCCTCACAGCCCCTGGGGAACCACACACTCCTGTTACTGGCCCATCTCTGCATTCTTCTCTTCCATTACTGTAAAGGGGATTGAGCCCAGGACCTTCAAGTTGAGCTACATCTCCAGACTTACATTTTTAAAATATTTGAGACAGGGTCTTAAGGTGGGCATGGTGGTGCAGGCCTAAAATCTCAGCATTTGGGAGGCTGAGGCAGGAGGCTTACCATGAGTTGAAAGCTAGCCTAGGCTACATATTGAAACTGTCTCAAAATAACAAAACAAACAAGAGCAAAATAACAAAACAAGCCATAAAAGAGGGTCTTTGTTGTTTTCTTGAGACAATATGTCAGGCTGGGTATTCTAGGCTGGCTTTGACCTCGCTATGTAGCCCAGGCTGGCCTCAAACTTACAGCAATTCTGCCTCAGCCTCCCAAATGCTGAGATTCTAGGTGTGGGTCACCATGCCTGGCAGAGACAGGGTCTTAGTAAGTCACTACATTGACTAGGCTGCCTCACATATTTGATCCTCCTGTCTCAGCCTCCCAGAGGGATTACAAGTATACACACTGCCCACCTGTACCTTTTTTTTTTTTTTTCTTTTGCACTGATGGGGAATTGAACCCAGGACCTCATATGTGCTAGGTGAATGGTCTGCTGCAGAGCTACAGCTACAGCCCACCCTTCTCCTTTTAAACAGAAAATGGGATGTGGGGAGGCCATGCAGCAGGCAGAGAGATGCACCCACCTGGAGCCCAGGTATCCTGACTCCCAGCTCAATGTTACTCCAAGGCCTTCTAGCTCCTGCTGCACCACAGTGGGGAATTGGAAACCCTTGAGTAAACTCCGGCAAGGTTCTGTCCACCCTGAGTCCTGGAGCAGTGGGGGACCTTGGTCAACACCCACTCCCCCAAACATGGTGCAGGGAGCTCACACAGCCCCTCCACCTTGACCTGGGTGACTGCCTTGGTTCCCCCCTGAAAGGGCCACAGCTCTGGAGCCATCTCCTGCCATTAAGAACTGGACAACACATGCAGAGCCCAGTCTGGTGGCCTCTGGCACTGACCAGACATGCATGCCGTACCCACCCAGCCCTCAGCCACTTAAGACTTCCTGGGCTTGTGCGTGAGCAGTGCTGGCAGAACCAAACATGGGACGGGAGCAACCTACCCTGGGGTCCCGCTCTGAGCTGAGTCACACTGCAAGGTCAAGCTGCAGGAGGCTGGCCTTGCCTAAGGGTGACCCTTGGGACCACTGTTAAGAGCCTATTCTGGGGCTGCCTGATCCCACAGGAGCTGGCCTGGAACCCTGAAAGGGTTTTAAGGTCATTTGATCTTTCTGCAAGGACCTAGGAGAGCTGGAAAGTGAGCTGAGAGCAAGTAAACCTTGTTTTCCTCACAGTTTAAAAAGTTTACTGTGGGATTTTAGATTTACAAGAAAGTTCCAAAAATGGTAGGGTAGTTCCCGTATTCTCTGCTTCTAGCATTTTTTAAAGTTGCCATTTTATAGGCCCGTATGGGTGTGACTGTCACAGCTGAGAGGATAATCTTATACTTACTATCGAACTCCAGGCTTCACCTGGGTTCCCCCTGTTCTTCCTGCTTCAGGGTCCCAACTTGATTGGGTTAGAGAAGGAAAGGGTTTCTGAAGGGAGGGTGACAAGGCAAAGGCCGGGTTCCCTGTTCAGTCTGTCTGGCAGGTCAACAGCCAGACCGGGTAAGGATGGAGGGAAACCTAGCTGTGACAGTGCAGAGGGACACCAGGAAGGCCCCGGCAAGACAGATCCCAGGTCAAGCCTCAGCTCTGCACTCCCTCCACACTGAAGTTTTGGCGTTTTTTGGTCTGCTTTTGAGTCAGGGTCTGGATGTAGCCCAGGCTGGCCTCCACCTCAGGTTGACCCTCCTGCCTCAGTCTCCCGAGGGCCGAGATTACAGGCGTTCACCGCCACCACACTCAGCTGTGTTCTCATCCATTATGTGGGTGAAACATGGAGTGAGGCACAGCAAGGTCACAACAAAAGGCCACCAAAGCCAGAACCGAACTACAAAAATACATCCCAGCATTTCCGAGCTCAGGCTTCCTCCTGACAATGGGGGACACACCCACTTCTGGCACGAGCGCAACTGCGGCCCGGGGCCTCCGAGCTCACGGGATCCAGGGGCTGCCACATCCAGGGCTCCCTTCTTAGGACCCGCTCAGGCTCCACTCCCCCCAGCACCGTCCCGAACGGCCCGACGTGACCTTGGGTGAGGCCTCACGCGGCCCCGTTACCACAGAGAAATCTCAGGGCGCGCACGGCGCCTCGCTCGCCGCACAGAGCACCGGAGGCCTCGCGCTCA